TTTATTTGCTTTAAATTTTCTTTCAATGTCAAAATTTTCTATGGAAACAGCAGCTCATAAACATTGGGTCCCCCTCATGGGGCCCTCCCATCTACCTATGGTCTCAAGGAAGGATCCCATAACAAATGCATGGGGTGGTCTGGGGCCCCTCCTAACCATGGGTCGAGGGTTTGCATATGTTAACAGGAGCCTCACCCCATCTGGGTGCCTGCCAGAAAGTCAAGCCCTGGACCCCCAGAACCACCAACCAAGAAGATGAAGGAACTAACTCTGGAGGAAAAACCTCACAGGCAAAGAACTCAACAACACTAATGGACCTCACATAAAGTCACCTGGGGTGATCTTAAAGGTCTTGCTGACCAAGCCACCAGATTGGCTTCTTTGCCTGGTGGCAACCCCATCCCTGGGCCTATGATGGTGGTCCTACTGGGTGCAATGCTCACTGCTAACAGTGAAGCCTCCTGTCAGGTAAATTGAGCTTTGGTTACTAGGCCACCACCTTTAGCAGTTGCTAATTAGGAAGGGCCTTTACCTGAGCTCTTCTCTAATAATTCCAACCTTATTGATCCYGAGTTATTCATCCAGGAGGTGACGGTACCCTGGAACCAGCATTTCCATAGCTACTCTTCCCATTTGTTTCTCTGTAATAGATAATGAAAACTATAATCCAGACAGTCACCTCTCTTTTGCTCTTGTCAATGAAACTTATGTTGGGCTGTCTCTCACTGACCTTAGAGTTACAGTTAATACTACCTATGGCCACAGACTCCCCCATGGCAAATGCAAGAAACCCTTGCTGCCAACATGCCCAACAACACTTTTTGGAAAGCCCCCCCCCCCCTGATAATGATAGCATCCCATGGAATCAATGTGTCACTGCCATACCTTATCTCCTCGATGAGAGGAATTTCTCTGGGGAAGGACAACGTCTATGCTCCTGGATGGGCACAGCTCCCTGGAATGTAACTGATGTGCCCCAAAACCATRTTGGCCACTGCAGTACCTGCTGCACAGGACGAGCCATTACCAACGGTTATGCAGGAAACAGTATGGCATGATAGATATTATGCTGGAATATTGTTGGCTGTTAGAGCCATCAAAGGGCATCAACTTGCTAGATGAATAGGTTGATATTGAGTCCAGACCCTTACCATTTGCCTTTATGCCAAATTATCCCCATACCCTCTATGCACAGGTGTGTGTTATGCCACCTTTGCCATGCTAATAATCAATGACATTGAGGGCATACATATCACTCAAACAGAGATCCCTTGTGCTGACAATATATCCTGCTGGCTCACAAATTGCCTAACCCCTGCTATGACAGCTAAACGTGTATTTATCCTCAGAGTGCCCCCAGCAGTCTGGCTTCCAGTGACCCTGTCCAGAGAGGGGAGGAGTCCATGGGACATGGAGATGAAGAATCTTCTGAGTGAGATTCTACACCAGACAAGGCATGCAATTAGCCTCATCATCACTGGGATTATTGCCCTGGTGGCTGCCATCGCTGCCACAGCCACTGCCGCTGCTTCGCTCACCCAGAATATCCAGATGGCTCAGACTGTGGGCAATGTGTCTACTGCCACGGCAGAAGCCTTTGCCATTCAAAATGACTTAAATAACCTGTCCTGAGCCACTATTTTAGTCATTCGGCAAGCACTAGACCTCCACAGGAATAACTAGATATTCTGTTTATGTTGTAAAGGCTCACTATGAYCCTGAATTTCATAGTATTCGTGTCATCCAATATGCTGTATCTGAAAATGTAACCTTACACTTCTCCAATTTTTCTCAGTATATTAAAGGTGCTTGGGATATTGACTATATTATGACCTTACTAAGGTAATTGTCAAAATCAATGAGACGAAGGTGTCTATCTTAACAATCTCTTCTTTCTTCCAGGGATTGAATAAACACTGGAAAAATCTGATAGCCAAATTAACTTCTCCTTATAATGCTATTATCCTGGCCCTACTTTTTATAATACTGATAATTTTTTTTCTTGTGTTGTGAGACGCTTATGTAACCATGTAAAGGCCACCAAAAGAATAATAGCAATGCTGGCTAAAGTCCTTGCCACACAGTCAGAGGGGAGAGATGTGGGGACACGTGCATGGAGTGCTGCATACATGGCATGTGTTAAGGGCATCTGAGTGGCAAACCTCTCCCCTCATGCTAGGTGTGTAAGTGGCAAACGCTTACCCTGTAGGCATAGTCCTACAGTCCCTGTGCCTGCTCCAGAGCCCGCTCCTCAATTGGTCGCTGCAAAGACAGTTGGCCACACATTGTAYTGCTGGCTGCCTGTAATTGCCTGAGTATATGTTCATGGTAAATGTGCAATAAAATCAAACCTGCTTCCTGCTTGGCCTCCAGACATCTTGAATAGCGACTCCACAGCCACACTCTCCTCTACCCTGTTCCGTGGACCTCCTCGCTGGATGAGAGAGCCCGAACATTAATCTCTTTGATAATAGGTTCAAGGGCATTACACTTTTTGCCAYGAAGATTACACATTATTCTGCATATAATTTTAATAAACAGGCCTTTCTCCATCCTCCTGATAGCTACATCCTTCACAGTAGGATTTTGCCACTCTTCYCATCAAGAGCGGGTATCTCTATCTCCACCCTTTGAGTCTGGGTTGGTCGGTGGCTTTCCTTGGCTGAGAGGAAGTGGTAAGCTATAGGTGCTGGTCCCAGGAGGCCTTCATGTTTCCACTCACTCTCTTGGAGTCCTGCCAAACTGCTAGGAAACTGCGTGGGCTAGACTGGTATCTTAGTTACCCTCCTCACTTCTGCCAGTACCCAGCCAGCAACCAGTCCATAGCCACCCACTTGCCGACTGCGGGTGCGTGAGTGACTCCAACTGCACTTGGATGGACATGGTCCAGATCAACAGCACCAGACAACTGACCCACGAACTTGTGGAAATAATTATTGTTTTCAGTCATTAAGCTTTGAGGTAGTTCATTACACACCAATTGCTAACTGACACCTTCACTTTTGGCTCTAAATCCATGATCCTTCATGTGTTGGGTTGAAGACCCTCAGAGGACAAAGAAGTACCCTACCCACCCTGTATCCCGCCATGCTTAGCTGCACACAGAGGTATGCAATCAAAGCACGTGGAAGTATTTTTGGAATTGCAGCCCTCTGATTTGCATGATCCTTGAAAGAGATAACAAGGCCTGGTGGGGAGAGGGAGGAGATACTGCAGAGGAGCTGCGAAAGAAGACGAATCTAGTCTATAATGATTGATGGGTCTCCAAAGGCAGGATTAGGAAAAATGAAGGACTTTTATGGGGAAGATGTGTTTGAGTGATATGATGGAAATTCATTYTCTAATCATCCCAATTCTGTGATGTAGAAATGGGCAGCATCTGAGAGAAGTGAGCTCTGTGGTGTTAGAGGCGACCGGGCAGAGGCTGAAGAACTCCCACTTGGCAGGATGGGCAACTTTAAGTACAAGTTTTAACTAAGGAGCCTTGGACCTGGGTGTGGCTCTGATTCTCRCTCGGTAGCCGCAGAAGGCATAGAAAGCTTCCCTGAGGCCAATACTTCTTTGTGCAAATATGGGTCTGGACCATTTGTTTTAGYCTCAAGTGACACCTTGAAATTAAAAGCCAAAAGCACCAGCTTTTGACTCAGGGAAGCGGAGTTCCTGCTCCTCTACCTGCCTTTGAGGTCATTTATATTCCAAGAGGGCTGCTGATGGGAACCCATCTCTCCTCCTGCACACTGTCTGATCCTTGGCAAGATGAAGTCCGATCCCCGGACTCTGTCACTCCTCCTCTYCTCTCTGGCTGCCCCATCCTGGGCTCCCTTCCCTGGGAAGTGGCTGTGAATCACCCCTACCCTCACCATGTCCCTTTTCCAAACAGGCCGCAGGACATCAGCACCCACGAGTGGGCAAGAGGGACGTTTAAGGACAACAGCACGTGGAGCTTTTATCCCAGGGCCCTGTGCACCCCCCAAAAGCCCTGGGTTGGGACAGAGAGTTGGGCAGTTGGATCCCAAAGTTCCGAGGGTCTGGGGTCTAACRGGTGCCCGTTCTAATGCCCCCTCCCACACTGCCGGGCGGCACATTCCTCATGAGAACCGTCATGGAGGAGTCCAACGGCCTCACCTGGGCACCTGAGGCTGCCGGTGCTCGTATTCCTGTTGATGTGCAGTAGGCAAGGAACAGAGCTGCTCTTAGAGGCATATTTTTGTTCCATCTATAAGAAGACTCTGAGAAAAGGTCAGTATTTAGGTCCCAGAGCTAAAGGAAACCCAGGAAGAAAAGACCACCATGATGAAGGGCCCTAGGAGGGCCTCAAGGACAGAGGAACTTGGGACCAAAGGAGACAGGAGCTGGGAGCTTCTTATCCCTGCCTTAACATCTGTGTTGGCGTTTRTCAGCCCTTAAGAAGCTGGGAGAGCCCTTGAAGGGAGTTAGGAGAGTAATTGAGTTCAGGAGTCATGAACTTTCAGGGTCTAGAAGAGTAAGGGGGACATTTTAACCAAGTGTAATAGTTAGTTATTGCTGTGTAACAAATGATCACCAACCCAGTGGCTCAAAGGAACACCCACTGATTATCCCCCAGTGTTCGTGGTTCAGGAGYCTGGGCTCAGCTGGGTTGTTTTTGCCCAGGGCCTCAGAGGCCCCATCAAGGTCTTGGCTCTCYTGCCTTCCCTTCTGGAGCTCAGCGACCTCTTCCAAACTCTTGTGACTGTTGRCAGGATTCAGCTCCTCAGGATGGAGGAGTGAGGCCCCATCCCTTACCACATGCCCCTCCATAGGCAGCTCRAATGCTGCCTGCTGGCTCCTCAAGGCCAGCAGAACGCGCATCTCCAGTCCAGCTTCTGTTAACAACAGCATCATGGGAGTGGCAACCCTTTGCTTTTGTCATATCCTGTTAGAATCAAGCCACTGGTTGTGCCCACACTCCGGGGGAAGGGTGTGTTGCCATATGGAGTCCTTTACAAATCTCATTTATCTCACAAGCGTTTGAGGAAGAGATGGCAGAAGCAGCCGCAGACGTGAATGGAGACGTGTCAGAGGAAGCAGAGGACGCGGAGGGTCTTGCATTAKATGACAGTGGTAAGGAGGTCACTGCCAACCTCGCCTTCCTGTCCCTCTCGGCCACTCATGCTCGCAGGCCAGCCCACCTGGTTCTCAGCTTCTCCATCTTCCCGGTGGGCATGGGCGTGATGTCCTGGGGAAGCTGGAGCTGGGCAGGTGCAGGGGCTTCCTGTGACGGCCATCTCCGCACGGCACCGGTGCCCTCTTTGTTTCAGGTATCTACCAACAAGTCACAAACCTCCTGGACATCATGGACAGTGAGTCAGCAAAGACAGACATGGCTGGGGCAGGCCTCGACATGCGGAAGACCCTGGCCTCGGTGATCATCACAGAGAAGGCCACCGCTGAGCCCTCTATGGTGATCCGCGCTCTTACCCGCTGCCTGCAGGTGCCAGAGGTAGGGCCGCCTCGCCCTGCACACCTCTTCTGAGCCCAGCCWCCTTCTGCTACTCAGCTAACAGTCATGACCGACACAGGTGCAAAGCTGTGCTGGGGTGCAGAGACGAGGAGCAGCAGGGGCTGGACCGCTCACATTTTCCAGGCTCCCTGTGTCCTGGTACCTGGGTTTGGGAGCCGCCTGGCTGAGCTCTGGATTGGCCGTTACCTTTGACTGCATGGGCTGCGAGAACAAGAGTACCAGAGACTTTGTGGCTTAACATTTATTTTCTAGATTYCAGGAATCTATAATGGAGGTGCCGGCAGATTTGGTTTGTGCTGTGKGCTCTTTTCCTGGTGTGTAGACAACTGCCTTCTACTGTCCTCATGTGACTTCCTCTGCATGCATTGAGAAAGAGAGCTCCCCTCTGCCTTTTCCTCCTTTTACCAATCCCACTGAATCAGGGCCCCACACTTCTGACCTCATGTAACCCTAATTACCTATCAAAGGCCCATCTCCAAATGCCATCCAACTCGGGGTTTAGGGCTTCAGTGTAAGATATTGAAGGAACACAATTCAGTGTGTGTGTGTGTGTGTGTGTGTGTGTGTGTTTGAAAAGCATGCACATGCATGGGCAACTTGTGTACTATTGTAGGGGTTGGCTAACTCAGGGAGGAGCAGTCCCCAAAAGTCAAAGATCAGGAAATACAGATAAAAAATGATGAATACATAGGCCTTAAACAGAGATCAGTGTCAATAAGCAGACAATGAACAAGTACACATATTTAAAAAATTAATGTGCAACAAATATTTTATTTATTCATTAATTAGCGGAGGAACCAGTAAAATGGTAGAAGCTGTTCAAATGAGAATTTTACCTATGGAGACTTTTCTTCTTKACCAGATAAAAATCCACTGGCATTGCCCTGGCTGAAAATGGTTTTCACAGCTGGGGGTGGGGAGAACGTTTGCACTGTTATCAGTTTAATTCAATGTAATTTCTATGCCTATAGAGCTGTAAAATAGCCCAGACAATCCAGGGCAAGCTAAGATGCACACCCCTATAGACCCTGATAACCCCAGAGCATCTGCCAGACAGCAGCACCAAGCCGACCTCTGGAAGACAGCCAATAGTCACCTGTCAGTCAGCTCCTAAGTCTTTGATAGCTCTTCTCTTGTCCAAACACCCACCCTCACTTCCTCCCTTCCTCCTCCCCTCCCCCCTCCCTCCCTTCCTCCCTTTTTTTCTGATTGACACATAATAATGGTACATATTTATGAGGTACAAGTGAAATTTTGATTCATGTGTACCTTGTGAAATGTTCAAATTGGGTAATTAGCATATTCATCCCCTTAAAMTTTTATCATGTCTTTATGGTGAGTACATCCAATCTCTCATCCAGCCCTTTTGAGACAAACCTGCATTATTGCTGATTGTACTCACCCTGTTGGGCAGAGGAACACCAGAACCTCTTCCTCTTGTTGACCTGGAAAGTTGTACCCCTGACCAACCTCTCTGCCTCCTCCTTCCTCTCTCCTCCCTGTTCCTCTCAGGCTCTGGTGGTTACCSTTCTACTCTCATCTCCTCTGAGATCAACCGTTTATGAGGCTCTGCACAAATGAGGTCATGCAGTATTTGTCTTTCTGTGACTGGCTTATTTCACTTAGCATGATGTCTTCCAGGTCCATCCTCTTTGTCACAAATGGMAGGACCTCGTCTTTGTATGGCTGAATAATCTTCCATTGTGTATATGTAGAGATCACATACTCTTTTTCAGCTGATGGATATTTAGGTCGATTCAAATCTTGGCTGCTGTGAATCTGTACTCCTATGTGTACTGATTATTATTTTGTAAAATTAGAGCATTATAATTATACATAGTATTTGGGTTCRTTTTGGCAAAATCATACATGTCTGGAATTTGATTTCAATACCCATTCCCCCATGTTTCCTCCCCTCCTCCCTCYCCCTATTCTTCCTTCTCTCCTCTACTGATCTTTCTTTCACTCCATTATTAACTTATTTATGTTGGTACTTTCTACATGCACATAAGGATAGAATTCCCTTTGGTACCTTTATATTGTAGGTAACATGATTTTGTTAGATTMATTTTATATTTTTCCCCTTTCCCTCCTTACCTCCCTCCCTCCCTCCCTTTTGTTCTCCTCCTACTCCACTGACGTTCCCTATGACGTTCTTTATGATAACAGACTCCCTTTTCATCTGCCTTCTTTCACTTATTTTCTTTAGTTTTCACGTATCAGAGAAAACATTGGACCTTTGATTTTCTCAGCCTGGCTTATTTCACTTAGCATGATTGTCTCCATTTCCATCAACTTACCAGCAAATACCAWCATTTCATTCTTCTTTGTGGCTCAGTAGTACTCAATTATGTATATACACCACATTTTCTTGATCCTTTCATCTATGATGGGCACCTCGGTTGGTTCTATAATTTGGTTATTGTGAATTATGCTGCTACAAACATTGATGTGGCTGTATTTCTAGAGTATGATGATTTTAGATATTTTGGATAAACACCAAGGACTAGGGTAGCTGGGTCACATGATGGTTCTATTCCTAGTTTTTTGAGGAATCTCCACACTGCATTCCCGAGTGGTTGTACTAATTTGCAATCCCATCAACAATGTATGAATGTACCTTTTTCCTCACATCCTCCCCAGTATTTATTATTATTTATGCTCTTGATCATTGCCATTCTGATGGGAGTGAGATGAAATCTTATTAGTTTTGATTTGTATTCCCCTGATTGCTGGAGATGTTGAACATTGTTTTATATATTTGTTGGCAATTTGGCTTCTTATTTTTTGGTTCTTTGGCTCATTTATTGAGGGTTTTTTTTTTTGGCATTGAGTTGTTTTGAGTTCTTTATATGTGCAGAATATTAATCCCCTTCAGAGGAGTGACTGGCAAAGATTTTCTCCCATTCCAGAGGCTATCTCTTTATTATTCCTTTGTGGTGCAGAAACTTTTTAAATTTGATGGCATCCCAATTATTGATTTTTGGTTTTATTTCTTAAGCTTTAGGGGTCTTGTTAAGGAAGTCAGTTCCTGTTCCTATATGATGGAGTGTTGACCTTTAGGTTTTCTTCTAAGAGTTGCMATTCCTAATACCTAGGTCTTTGATCCACTTTGATTTAACTTTTGTGCACAGTGAAAGATAAGAATCTAACTTCATTCTCTACATATGGATAGATATCCAGTTTTCCCAGCACCATGTATTAAAAAATCTTCAACAATTCTTTTTGGCACCTTTGTCAAGTATCAAGTGGCCGTAAATACATGAGTTTGTCTTGGTGTCTTCTATTCTTTCCCATTCATCTTCATGTCTATTTTTATGCCAATACCATGCTGTTTTTCTACTATAGCTCTGTAGTTAATTTGAAATCAGGTATTGTGATGCCATCTACATCACCTTTTTCTTTTTAAAAATATTTTTAGTTGTAGATGGATACAATACCTTTATTTTATTTATTTATTTTGATGTGGTGCTGAGGATCGAACCCAGTGCCTCATACATCCCAGGCAAGYGCTCTACCTCTGAGCCACAACCCCAACCCCTCTGCATTACTTTTCTTGTTCAGAATGGCTTTGGCTATTCTGAGTTTCTTATTCTTCCAAATGAATTTTAGGACTGATTTTTTTTTTAGTTCTGTAAAGAATGTAATTGGTATTTTGATGGGGATTGCATTGAATCTGTATATTGCTTTTGGTAGTATGGCCATTTTGACAAAATTAATTCTGCCTAGCCAGGAATATGGAAGGGCTTTCCATCTCCTATCATCCTCTTCAATTTCTTTTTTCAGWGTTGTATAATTTTCATTGTAGAGGTCTCTCACCTCCTTGGTTAGAGTCATTACCAGGTTTTTTTTTTTTTGAGATTATTGCAAAAGAGATGGGTTTCCTGATTTATTTCTCAGCTGAATTGCTGGTGGAGTATAGAAAAGTCATTGATTTATGAGTGTTGATCTTGTATCCTGGTACTTTATCATCTCTAAAAGTCTTCTGGTGAAATTTTTTAGTCTCTAAATAAAGGATCATGTCATCAGGAAGCAGTGATAGTTTGACTTTTTCTTTTTAAATTTATATCCCTTTAATTTCCTTCTCTTGACTGATTGATCTGGCTAGAGTTCCAGGAACTACATTGAATAGAAGTGGTGAGAATGCACGTTCTTCTCTTCTTCCTGATTTTAGAGGAAAAACTTTTAGTTTAGTAAGGCATTGGCTTTGGGYTTGTTATACGTAGCTTTATAATGCTGAGGTAAATTGCTTCTATCCCTAGTTTCTCCAGTGTTTTTAATATGATTGTTGCTGTATTTTATCAAAGGCCTTTTCTGCATTTATTGAGATGATYATATGGTTTTTGTTCCTAATTCTATTTAAGTGGTGAATTATATTTGCTGATTTGCATATGTTTAAACAACCTTGATCTCTGTGAGGAAGCCCACTTGATCATGGTATATTATCTTCTTCATTTCTCTTCAAATGCAGTTAACTAATGTTAAGGATTTTTGCATCTATGTTCATCACAGATATTTGTCTGAAGTTTTCTTTCCTAGACGGCTCTCTGTCTGGTTTTGGTATCAGRGTTATACTTGCTTCCCTGAATGTGTTTGGGAGTGTTCCCTCTCTTTCAATTTCATGGAATAACTTGGGAAAAACTAGTATTAGCKCTTCTTTAAAGGTCTGGTAGAACTCAGCTGAGGATCCATCTGATTCTGGGCCTTTCTTTGTTAGTAGGCTTTTATTTTTTGGTGCTGAAGATTGAATCCAGGGGTGCTTACCCACTGAGATGCACCCCCAACCCTTTTTATTTTGAAACACTTTATTTATTTATTTATTTTTTATTAAAATAAAACTTTTTATTTTAAACATTTTAAAAATCACCAATTTGCTTAGGGCTTTGCTAAGTYGCTGTTATCATCCTTGAATTTGTGGTCCTTCTGCCTCAGCCTCCCAAGTTTCCGGGATCACAGTTGTGTACCACCACACCCAGATG